TCATCTTGGTGTTTGTGTCTGTTAACTCTCTCTTCTCATTCAGGTTGACATTTGCCTGGTTCTTGGCACAAGAGCATGGCTTTCTGTTCTATTCTGCCCATTTGGGTTTGAGACCCTGGACTTGTTTGAATGTTTTAGTAGGTCTACTCTGACACCACCCCCATGGGTGAAGGGGGCATGTGGTGGGTTTGACGGTTCAGGCTCACCACTGAGCCCCGTTTGAGTACAGGCGGCAGGGAGGAATGGCTCAGTGCAGCTTCCCACTAGAACACGTGGGCCCCACTGATACCATGGGAGTGGGGGGAGTTGTTCCTCTGGGTCAGGGTAAAAGTCTAGGCTCCCAACATGGCCTCCACTGACACTATGGGGGTGGGCCTCATTACCATCCTGCAGGGATAGAAGTCCCAAGCGCCCTACTGGGCTAGCTCTGACCCCGCTCCAGCAGGGGTTGGGGAGGCCTCATTGCAACAGGCAAAGGAGAAGGTCTAGGCTCCCCACTTGGCCCTTGCTGGTGAGGCTGTGGGGTTGGGGCCATGGGTTTTTCCACGGTGTTTGGATAGAGTAGGGAAGTTACTGTCCGAGACTTCTCCATCTTTCTAGGTTGCCCTGTCCTGATCCTTGGGCTAGAGACACCAGGCTTTTAGCCATTGGCTCCTATTGGTGTTTCTGGGGTGCTGGTTTCTCCAGTGCCTCGTATTTGCCCAATATGAGGCAAAAGAAAACCCAGGAAAGTCAATGCTGTGTTATTCCTTGGGTACTGAAGTTCCTTTCCATTCGGTCTTCTCAGCTTTCACAGTAGTTTGATGTTTGTTTTATGCAAGTCCAGGCTGCTCTTAGTGGAGGAATAGGGAGAAGTGCGTCTATTCTTTCTTGTCTCTTCTACTTTGTTTTGAATAGTGAATTTTCTAAAAATGTGGTCCTAGAAAGTAGCTTAGTTTGCAAAATATAAACATAACTTTTATATAATTTTATAAATAACTACTGACTCAGTCAAACCACCGAGGACATGTTCTACAATCAATGGTTTGTGTGTGTCTCCAATTGAATGCTAAGTCCTCGATCTAAGCCATGTCTTAGGTTAAAATAATTCCAGGATTTCCTGATATTGAACCACCTTTGCATTCCGGGAATAAACCTCTCTTAGTCACTGTTAACAGTAGGGTGCACTAGGTTAAGTTGGGGTAACAAATAGCCCCCCATCTTAGGGGCTTGTAAGGGTTTATGTGTCTTTTACGCTCCATGTCCCACTGTGGGTCAGCTGTCCCAGCCCCCAAGCCCTTGAAGTAGCCACCATCTGGAATATTACCAATCTTAGGGACGAAGGCAAAGTGGACAGTGTGAACCAAGGGCAGGCACTTAAAACTTTTACTCAGAAGTCCTACATGCCACTTCCACTCACAAGCCACACAGTCACACCTAAGTTCAACGAGGGGATGTATAATCCTCCCACAGGAAAGAGCACTGAGAGGGAGAAGCACCAACTCATTTCGTGAAAAATAATACAATATACCACTACATATCATTGGATTCAGTTCACTAATATTTTATTTTGAATATTTGCATCAACCTTCATAAGGGAGACAGGTCTATAGTTTCTCATTTCATAAAAATAATTTGGAAGTGAAAAATTACTTTGTCATTAAGACTGCAAGGTGACTGATGTGGTAGCTCAAGTTAAAGTGTTATAGGTGTATAGTAGGGGGTCTAATTTCTGCCTTGACAGCTTATTATGTAATAATAAAAGGTTAACACACTTCATGTGATCTGATAAATCAATTAAAACATTTCCTTAAAAAAAATTCCTTTTGGAAATTTCCTCTAAGGGGAAAAAAATTTGGAAGATAATTTAGGAATGAAAAGTACTCTCTCCTGCAAAGTCAGATTTCACTTCTGCACCCAACCCGTGTCTTAGAGGCATGTTTTTAATATTTTCATTTCCTACTTTTCTGCCCTGGATTATAAAGTGGGCGCAGTTTTTCTGTACACATTCCTGACAGTGCTTTCAACTGAGCAACTCTGCCAAAAAGCATGCCTGAACCGGGAGGGCATTACTAAGGAGGCAAGAATCTTCTAGTGGGTGGAGACGAGGTTCTCCTATCACCCTCTCACCTCCTTCTTGACCGCCCCCGTCATTGAGCCTCCTGTGTAAACAGCATCTTTTGTCCAAGCATCCCAATGAGCAGTATAAACATTGTCTCACCTGTAAGGCAAGTGATTGGTAAATATTTATTCATATTTTTCAGATGGACAAACTGAAAATGCCAGAGTCAAGTGGCCTAAAGCCACTTCCAAAGCTGCTTGCTTTGGGAAAACCCTTCACAACTGCTGCTTCTTGAGCATTTTCCTGGCCTTGCTGGTGGCCAGAGGACAGAAGGAACTAAGTTCTGGCTGTTTGGTGTATATGTAATTTCAGTTTCATTGTTGCTATATACAAACTTTACCAAAACTCAGAGTAATAAAACCTTATCAGGTATTAGCAAGTCCTTGGGTTGGTGAATAGGGAATGTTTACAGGCAAGAGGAGGCTAATTCTAGGAAAACTGAACGAAGACGGTAAAATCTGTGACTTACTTGAAAGTCACACAGGTCTTGTCAGTACACATTCAGCACAGTCTCTGAAACCTCGTTAGCAGTAGAATCACGTGCTTACCCCCAATCTTTGATGGCCACAAATTGTATGCAAATGTCAACACTGGCAGTCACACACTGTGGCCAACCTACCTTTCCAGGCCTCTCTTTTACTTTACCTACGCTCATCTACACGCTGTCCAAACTGGGCTTCTTATTTCTGGGGCACAACTCCCCCCTGCCCGCTCTGGGGCCTCTCTTCATGCTGTGCTTTCCACTTGCAGGGTGCTCTCCATCATGTCTGCTTATCAAAATCTTGGACTTCAAGGCCCACAGGGACACTACTGCCTCCGGACAGCCTCTTAGATTCCTCCTAACTGATATCTCTATTTTCTACATCATTTTTAGCACCAGAGCTTGAAATTCTTTTGGCACAGTATTATAATACTCTCCACAGCCCCTGCCCATCCGCCCAGCACACTAGCTGGTAAGGAACTTGCGGGTAGAGGCCCTGCAGCCTCTTCTATAGTAAAGCACGTAGGAGTCACGCTACCATTTGTTGGCTGTGATCCCTCTCCTGCAGTCTTCACGTCTACAGTTTGTATCATTCTAGGAAACCCCTTTCTCTGGTCTCTGGGCTATCCTGTCTCTTTATGGGATGCACTGGGGGCCCTTCCTCAAAAAGTCACCTTTTCCTCTGATGCATTATCCAAGACATCATTAAGGTAGTTAGTGGAGTCAATGGCTGAGTCACAGTGATTAATGGATCTACAGGAAACAGTGGGCTGCAAGTGCACATCATTGCTATCCTCAAAGAACAGGAAAGACAGTGTCTATTGCAATGATCAAGTTCCAGCCTGCTCAGAATCACCCGTGAAGGCATTAAGTGCACAGGAAGTAAATGTGAAGAGAAAGAACACCCAAGATGGCGGCTTTCAAATAGAAATCAAGGAGCTATTCACTACATAATACTATTTCCTATCAGGTGGATTAGAAAAGCCTCTTCATTAATTCAAACTCTACACTTATTTTTACTTCAGAACAGATGGCCAACCTGAGCCCTGGTTTTCTATAATTTGGCCATAGCAAAGAAACAAAAAAAAATTCAAACACTAAAATGAAGTAGAAGTTGTCAGAGAATAGACAGCAAGCAACACATAAATTCACAACATACACACAATAGGACAGTGTGTAACTTAAAGAGCAAAAGCACAAAACTGTACAATGCTCTGCCATTTATTTTAAAAGACTGTAGAGATTGGAATATTTATCTAAACACACTGACAAAAGCGCTCTCAGGGGGAGACTTTTCACTGTATAATCTACTCAAAGAACACACAAACATGTTTTTAAAGAAACAACTCCAGAATAGAGATAACTTGTAACACCTGAAGACCTCATATTCTACCAGCATGTTTAAGCTCATTTTTTTCTTTTTTTCTGAGAGGCTTCTCTTCACTGAGTATTAAGAATGTAGGAAGAGAGCTCATGGCTGTCCTTCATTGTGGACAACTACAATGGCATTAAGCCTGCAAATGCTAAGAGGGTTAAACTGACCTTTTCAAAGCACAGATACCAGATTTCTGTTTTTGTAGGCTCTGGTGCCCAGAAGGAAGTTCTTTTGCTTTATAATATGTTTCCTTATAAGACTAATAAAACCTAAGGATACGATTATCTAACATGCAGTTAAGTTGTTTGGAAAGCAAATAGGTAAGAACCTGTTAGCTTTTTCCTTTCCTTCCCTTTTCCTTCTTTTTCTTTCCTTTTTTTTTTTTTTCTCTCTCTCCTGAGACAGAGTTTTGCTCTTGTTGCCCAGGCTGGAGTGCAATGGTGAAATCTTGGCTCACTGCAGCCTCTGCCTCCTGGATTCAAGCAATTCTCCTGCCTCAGCCTCCCAAGTAGCTGGGATTACAGGCACCTGCCACCACACTCAGCTAATTTTTTTGTATTTTCAGTAGAGACGAGATTTCACCATGTTGGCCAGGCCTCCTGACCTCAGGTGATCCGCCTGCCTCGGCCTCCCAAAGTGCTGGGATTACAGGCATGAGCCACCACCCCCAGCCAGATGCTGTTACCTTCAAACTAACTTTCCTAAGTTAACTTTATGTGTATATGTACACACACAAATTTTCTAAGCTTTCAAAATGTTTGGAATAAAAATTATTTTGCAAATCTTCAACCGGGCAGATGGTTGGTATCTGAAATAGAAATAAATGCAAACAAAATATTCCAAAGTGATGGAGAATGTCCACAAGCTACTTAACAACATGAATTCAAGGTACAGTGAAAAACCAAACTGGTCTTCCTCATCATTCTCATGTCAATAATTTAGAAAAAATCCCTTCAGTACTACTGAGCTTCAGGCTTTGTCATGAAGACTGAAAATTCCAGGGGAAAGGAAGAGGAAGAGAAAGGAAAGAAATGAGAACCAGCAAAGATCAACAAACATTTCATTAATTCTGATTCCTTTTATCATTTGCTTTTTTATACAAAGCACTTTCAAATCAATTATCTTAAATTTGTAATAGGGGTTTCTTTCGGATTCAGTTTAAAAATGACAAATAGCATTCGTTGTGCCCAAGTTGGAATTATACCAAAATTACCATGTGCTGGCACATACAATCATCCCGCTGGTGGCTGGAAAACTGGGTTGCAGGAGTGTCTGCCACTCAGATGGGCCACCACCCCAGTGGGCATATGGTAGAGATGAGGGAAGGATGGACTAGAAGCACGCTGGGCCTGCTGGGTCTTCTAGGTCGTCTCTACTCTTTTTCACTTCGTCACCGTTTTCCCCACTGAGCTTGAACACAGGAATCTGCTGACCATCCTTGAGCTTTAAAAAGACCTCGTCAAGGTGCCACCTGAGAGAAACCAGAAGTACAGTATCTCTAATCTATGAACACTGAGGCAACGGCCATAGTCAAAAAAAGGGGTGCAGAAAGCAGTTGTTTTGAATAATGCCTTAAATTTTTGTAAACATTTTGTGTGAGTGCTGTGTCAACACAATTCGTAACATTCTACCATGGGCTCTCATTATTTAACCAGCTTCGACTTCGAGGCAGGCTTAACAATGACAGGCGAATGGAAGGGACACCAGGAAGGAGAAGGAGCAGTTTATTTCTCATTTCCTAATTCACACTGACCTTCAGTTCCTGGCATGGAATCCAGCCAGCTCGTGCACTAATCCCAGGCTCAGAGGTCAGTGAGCCCAGGGTGAGCTAGGTGGGCCCGCCTGCTCCTTTTGTCCTTGGGAATTAAAACACAGCCTGGCTAAACAGCAAGCATCTATGAGAGGGGCTTCCCGTGGGGGAAGTGAGTGGATGTAGCTACTGGCAACCAGACAAGCAAAGCCAATTAAGGGGTGGAGAGCTTATGCAAAGAATGTGATGAATAAATTCTGGAACAAGAATCCATGCCCTTTATTCATTTGTAACAATCGAGGCAGTGAAGTGAGAAGCTGTAACATAGCATCAAATTATGACAGACCTAGATCACTATAACTGGAAAGTTTTATGAATTCAACGGCATATAAGGAGAGGGCAATTCAGTAGACTGTATGGATAAACCGGACTCAGCTAAGAGCCACAGTACTGGCTTGCTGCCCAGGCCACGAAGCTTTCAGCTTCAAGCTTGAAAAACAGTTCTTCCTATGCCCACAGCAATTTACCAACAAATGAAAACAGAGTCGGGGTTGCTTCCATCAGGAAGTCCTCCTCCCACCCCCCGGACTGCCGTCACCTTCCCAGGATACCTCTGAAAGAGGCCACCTCTGGAGGAGCGGACGTAGAGAAGGCCCTCTGACTTGGATCCAGAGACAGGAATCTTCAACTGTGGTGTAAAATGACAGAAAGGAGAGATGTAATTCGATACATTATTGTCATTTCAGAAGATGATGACAAAATGATGCTTTCTAGAGCTAAGCCTATAAAATCCAGTGATTCTCCACAGAAGTGAGTTGTTTTCTAACAGCCCAGCTGGAGAATCCACTTGATTTTCCAAATGTCCTGCCCCTCTTTGGTTGGCTGGTAAGGTCAATGGCAGTCTTTGCATTTGGCAAGGAGGCCTCCTATGATCCTACTTCCAATGATCGCTCAAAAGTCCACTGTTAAAAAGGAGCAAACTCCTGACACACGCAGCAACATGGATGAGTATCAAAAACACGCCAAGTCAAAGGGCTTTACACAGCAGGAGTATATAACTATTTATTTTAATTCTACAACAGGCTAAACTATGCTGGAAACCTGTTATTTTGATGGATTACAAAGTAATTTTCAAACATCAAAAAAAAAAAAAAAGAAAAGTGACTGCCTCTGGTAGAGCTGGAAGATGTGAGAAGGAACCCACTGGGTAGGAAACGAGGGAATTCAGGTGCTGGGAGCAATCTACATCTAGATAACGGCTTGAGTGACACGACTGGGTGTATTTGTTAAAACTCATCAGAGATAGGACACTTGGATTTGTGCCTTTCACAGACTGTAAATTTTACCTCAAAAAAAAAAAAAAAAAAACAAAACTAGGCACCATAACAAATATTAAACTCCACTTAATGATGTACGTGCTTACATGTATAATGTTTGAAAATTACTTTGTAATCCATCAAAATAACACTATAGACTCATGGAAACAGAGCAAAATGCTAACTGTAGAATCCAGGTACCAGCTATAGGTGCTCACAGTATAAATTCTTTTATCTGTTTTGTACATTTGAAATTTTTCATAATAAAATACCAAAAGAAAATTCACTGTTTTAAAGAGGAACCTACTGCCAGCAAATTGGTACATATTTTGACCTGGACCCTAAAGAACAGGCTTTAAGGAAAATATAATACATGAAGGCTTGTCTGGGAAAGACGACACGGAGTCCTGGGTTTCTCCTTCATTCCCAGCACCACAGGCTGGGTTCGCACCACAGCGTGCTGCCAGGTGCTGCCATGCCCGTGCCCAGGCAGTCGGCCTGACAGCCCCTAAGCACTTGTTTGATTACACTCCAATTTAGAAAAAAAAAAATAGTGAATGCGATGTTTTTGGTTTCTCACGAAAACCAAAGAAGCTATGAGCCTCGCGAAGGAGACACAGGCACAGTAATAAGGAAGCCTGCCATGAGACAGGCACCTCCCAGAGTGCCTTCCCGTGTCCTCGGTAATGGCCAAAGATACCTCCCGGAGCGGGGGCGGGGTGGGGGTGGGGGCGGGGAGTATCCCACCCATTCCAAATTGCCACCAAGAGAAGAAACTACTGAGGTACACATTTGTGCTTTCCAAAACTCTTTCTTTCCTTTAAACACACCTGAAGGCAGGCACAGGATTTGGAACATGGCTCCATAACTCAGGTGAATAGGCAGCCAACTAGTCACACTTCAAGAACAAATCTTTAGCCGGGCATGGTGGCTTCCGCCTGTAATCCTAGCACTTTGGGAGGCCAAGGCGGGTGGATCACTTGAGGCCAGGAGTTCGAGATCAGCCTGGGCAATATGGCAAAACACCATCTCTACTAGAAATACAAACAATTAGCCAGGCGTGGTGGTGCGCACCTACAGTCCCAGCTACTCAGGAGGCTGAGGCAGGAGAATCGCTTGAACCTGGGAGGTGGAGGCTGCAGTGTGCCGAGATCACACCACTGCACTCCAGCCTGGGTAACAGAGCAAAGCTCCATCTCAAGAAAAAATAAAAAATAAAAAATAAAAACAAATCTTCAGGGTCCCACTGTTTGAGTCAAGCTAAAGCTTTTCTCCAGAGATTATAGAATTAAGCAACAGAGTATATACTGAGCATCTCTGGATGCTTTAAGAAAAAAAAAAAAAAAGGAAGGAGAAAGAAATGGGCAGAAGCAAGAAGGATTCTGAAGAACAGCAAACTCTGAGAGGCCAATGTCTGAACTGTGCACAGCTGTGCTTCCGTGTGTAGATGTGACACTTTACAGGTTGGTTCCTTCACCCAGCCCGACCTTGCCAAAGATTAAAGCAGGAGTTCTGGTAAAGCAAAAGTTGGTCACTGGTTACTATTTCACACACACACTCTAGAAAAAATCCCAATATAATTACTTCATGAACAACTGAAACATCTCACCTCTGGAAAAACTGTAAGAATTACAAATAAAGGAATTTGGGATAATAGGGCATATGCTGTATACAAGCATCCTTACAGCTGATTATAAAGAAAGTAAGGACCCTGACAGAATGTCAAAAATAGTCCACAAATTGGAAGGCATGCACTGAGGCTCCGGGTGGCTGTGATGCAGCAGACTCTGAACTCCTGTCACTGCAGAGTCACAGCATTTGGCAGCAGTAGAAGCCAGAACCTAGCACCACAGCCAACATAGTCACAGCATGGCCAAGGCCCCAGGGATGTGGGGAAGCCCAGGAAGGCACCCTCTCAGCACCACTGGGGCCAAAGTGAAAGCTGGACAGAACAAAGCTCCCACCAAAACAACCATGGCCTCACCCTACTCTCACTGGGGTTCCTGGAGCACCAGATCATGGATGCTGCATCAACCAGCCCCGGCAAAGGCGCCTTTGGCACCCACTTCCTCAGCGCTACAGCTGGGCTCTGTGCTCTGAGCCGAGAGAAATGCAACAGCCAGACCTACCTGCTGGCTTTTCCAGGTTCTCAGGATTGCTGGGGTCTAGCCAAGTGACCAAAGACAAGGAAGCACAGACGGGCTCCGCCACACCATGGGAGCAATCCAGTGGCCTGGCACAGAGTGAGCACTCCACACATGCCCAGCCCTTCCCTGTGCTCCTCCTACGTGTCCTCTCTCACGCGGTGTCACTGCCGTCCTTCCACTCACATCCATGCTGGACACTGGAGCATCACCTCCGACCCACCCACTCCTGATACATGACTGTTACCAAGTTCTGTCACCTGGATGCCACGATGCCTTCACATCCATCTTTTGCTTCTCCAGGCCACACCTCTGGTTCATGCTCTCACCACTGCACACCAGTGTGGCTGCGTCTCTCTCATAAAGGTGGCTCACTGTAGCCAGTCCCTGGACATCACCAATCTACACAAACATACCTTCTTTTAAAACCGAGTATTTTAATCAGAATACCAGAGCATGAATTGCTTTTGTAGTTCAAAAAAAGTCTCATTAGAGCTAGGTCCATTAAGAACATACTAAAAATAACAAAAAATAATGTAGGTCAGATCACCTCACTCTTATCCTTCCAACACTTTACGGGCTTCTGCTGCTAGAGTCAAGCACACACCTTCCAAGATGACATTGTGGCCCCCTGGTGGCCACGGCCTCTCCTACCTGCCCACACCCACCTCGCCCACCTGTGCCTCCACTGCCATATCACACTGACAGGGGACACAGTGACAACCTTCCCGGGGCATGCTGCTCCTCAGCCGGGTGTTCCTCTCCACCATTCAAAGTCCTCACAGCCGTCTCCCAGGCCTCCAGCCACTCCCCCTAGGCCTGCATAACAGTGACAGGGCTTGCATCACCCTGTCTTACTCAGGAATTTTCAACTATAAAACCCCAAAAGCCTTCTGCACCTCTATTCCCCACATAGCTTAGAATCATTCCTCAAACCAGGGTATATACTCAAAATATGTTTGTTAAACAGAAGAACAAATGCATTTTACATGCAAGTGAGTGTGATCAAGTACAAAAAGGTAAGTTACAGCTAAAAAAAATGGGTTGGTATACTGTGGAAGCAATGTAAATAAATACACTTTAAAAATCAAAGTTTAAAGACTTGGTTACATTTGAATGCGCACTGACTGGATACAGATGCTTTCTCATTTTTTTTTATTTTAGAGACAGTTTCACTCTGTCACCCAAGGTGGAGTGCAGTGACATGATCATAGCTCACTGCAGCCTCCAACTCCTGAGTTCAAGTGATCCTCCTGCTTCAGCCTCCTGGGTAGCTGGGATTATAGGTGTGCACTATCATACCTGGCTAAATGATAGATAGATAGATAGATAGATAGATAGATAGATAGATAGATAGATAGAGAGCTAGACAGACTAAATGATTGATAGATGATTGATTGATAGACAGATGATTGATTGATAGATGATTGATAGACAGATAGATAGATGATTGATAGATGATTGATAAATAGATGATTGATTGATAGGCAGATAGATAGATAGATAGATGATTGATTGATAGACAGGTAGATGATTGATAGATAGATGGATGATTGATTGATAGACAGACAGACAGACAGACAGACAGACAGATAGATAGATAGATAGATAGATAGATAGATAGATAGGCAGGCAGAGAGAAAGAGAGATAGAGACAGGGTCTTGCTGTGTTGCCCAGGCTGGTATCAAACTCCAGGGCTCAAGCAATCCTCTTACCTCAGCCTCCCAAAGTGCTGAGAGCTATCAAAGCCAACATGGTAGCAAACCACCACTGGTCATTTCTCTACTACCTTCAATTCAAGATGGTAGTAGCATACCACTGCATTCCCTGCATACCCACTGCATTCCCTGCATACCCACTGCATTCCCTGCCACATCAATTCCCCAGAATGGAAGAAAAGTATATAGAAATATATCTATAATATAAAATATATTTTATATAAACATTAAAATCCATAATAAAAAAACTTTTTTTAAAGGTGCTAAACCTAGCTTTACTTAGTGGATTTTCCCATCCCAAATCCTTAACTCCAAGACTTTCCAGGAGACAGTAGACTCTCCTCTCCTTCAGCAGGCACCAGCCTGCAGTTCGCAGGGAAAGCACGTTACCTTGGCATCAGCGACGTCCACGAAGTTTTCCCTATCGGTGAGCTTGAGATAATGGATGTTGAGAGGAGGGCCCAGAGCTTCCTGTGCCTCGGGATGGCTCTGCAGCTGCTCCACTGCCAACTTGTAATATAAACCCCTGGAATGAAACTCTAAGGACGAAAGACACACTTATTTTCCTTGTTGAACTTGGTCAGGTAGAATCTACTACAAAGAAAATTAAATAATACAATTGATGTACAGGGTAGAAACAGAAACATGAAATTTGTGGATGGACGAATAATTAGGACCATCTACTCTAAACTGTCCATTTTACAGACTCAAAAACCAAAGCACTGGCAGGCAGTGTTTTGCAGGGATGTGCAGATGACCTTAGGCCTTGACCTCAAGCAGACCCTTTCTGCTTCACCTCATTTCTACCCTCACTCATTGCCTTATTTCTACACCTAAGCGGTTTGATCAGCTCTTCCCTAAGTTTCCTCTCAAGTCTTTAAGTTTCCTCTAAAGTCCTATGATTCCATGACTTGTTCAAAGTGACACAGCTTGTCCACGGCAAAGCCGAGGCCAGAAGTCATGACACCTGACTTCTCAACATTGCCTATTCCACTAACATGAGACGTAAAATAGGCTACAACATTAACAAAACCCTCAGGCCAAGAAACAGGATATGAGAATGTTCACTCATCGACATTTAAGCCAACATTTCAAGTCAAACTGCTCTCAGTCTCAGGAATCATTCTGAGCCCACAGGCTACCCGGGAACTCCGGGCAGCACCTCCCAGAAGCTGTAAGTTCTAATAATCAACTGCCCGAAGGAGGGACCACAGGCAGGCTTCCCAAGCAGGCTGTTCAGTTTGGCCACAGAAAGTGCTTCCCTTCTGAAGGTCCCATCACACTAATGAAGGGAAAGGTGACCTGACCCTGGAGAGGCCAAGGGAATCCCCCTCCTCGGCTGCTTCCCAGGAACAGGGATACAGGGAATACCACAGGAATGAACGCGGTGCCAGCCATGATAGGAAAAGAAGGGACAGAAGCAGAGTCCAGACAGTTAATCTTTATTGAGTGATTTCTATGGCCAGGCACTGTTCTCAATATTTCACACATCTCACAATGTTCAATAGCTCTCATGTTGTAAGATTCAATTCTCACCTCATGCACAGGCACTAACATTACCACACATCACACCAATAAGGTAACTAACGCCCAGAAAGGTGACAGACTCCCCCATAAGGCCACATAGCTGGTCAAGAGCTGGAGCCAAGATTCAACCATTCAACCCAGGCAGTCGGCTGCAGTGCCCAGGTCTCACCAACTTAGCAGCCTCCTAAGGGAAAAAGGCTGTCACACCAGAAGGCTGAACCCTGACCCAAAAATGCACCCATTCCTCTCATGTCCTGCCCCTGTCCTTTGGCAGAGGGAAGAGGAGGCCAAATTATTCAGTCTGAATCATTCCTGGGAATGCTCATCTCAAGCCCCCTCCAGACTCAGCAACTTCACCAACTCTGCAGGAAGGTGCCGAAAGGCTGCAGAGGACACTGGAGCCTGTTTGCTTGTCTGCTGGTGACACTCACATCCTGGGAAGAAGTGAAAATGTTGCAGAGTGGATGAAGAGTCAAGCTGGGTGGGGATAAAGGGGCCTTAAAAAAGTCAGTCTGGAAAAAACTGCTGCCGCTTTGCCACCAGTAGCATTAAAATGACCTTAAATGTCCTGGCTGCTGACAGTAATTGTGGCCTGTCTTTACAAATTCAAATTTGAGTGCAGTGGGGCTGGAAGCTGCATGTGTCGGGATTTTGCCATCGTGGTCTCTGCTTTTATTTTCTGCCCCTGTCAGAGTCCCTTGCTTGTGGTCCCTCCTCCATTAAATCAACAGCAGAGAATGAAAGTGCAACGAAGGCTGACAACACTGGACACATACTCACAGCTTTCCCCACCTGTGAACCATCTGGTATTCCCCTTCCCTCTGTCCTTTCTTTATATAATCTCAGAATCTTGATGGAGCCACTGTGTGTGCACTGGACTGAAAGCCCATCATGCTTTGCTAGGCTTCTTATGCAAATGAGTCCTAGTCCTTTTATTTGTACTCGTTGCTCCTGGAAAAACTGAGATTACAGGATACAGAGGAAGCTACAGCCAATGAAATGGTGGACTAGCCTTTAAAATCACCCTCTCCTCCTTCTCTAATCTAAAGAAAGCATCTCAAGTATTTCCTCTGATGGAGGAGCAGGAGCAGGAGCAGGATAGCTAGGAGGAAGTCAGGCCGCAGGCGGCTTGCAGGATACTTACTTTGTATGAGGTAATACACAAGGGCAAAGCTCCCAGTACCGAACACACCGCCGAAAAGGACCTTTATTCTCAGAGGAATTGACTGCCCGCTTCCTGGATACTTAAAAACAAAAGATACAAATTTATTGTAGGATTCCCTGTTTTGTGCCAAGGGGATTTGCCTGGCGTGGGCCCCTCAAGGAAAGAAGCATTAAGGAAGTCAGCAAGGAGGCCAGACCGCCCTCCCTCATTTGCTTCCTTTCCAAATGCCAGGGTTGGTTCTGGAGCCAAACTGAGTGCCCTTCTGAGGGTGCCCTCTCGAGAGTGGCCCATGTCCAGGACCCATGCTGTGGGGGCCCTGCCGCCCCCAGCCGGCCCAGCACAGAGCAAGCATTCAGCCCACCATCCTGACAGACAGAGCCCAGACTGTGTGCCAAGCCCCGCGTGGCCAGGAAGCACAACCACTTTGTCTCAGGCCAACTGGTAAACAGGAAGCTTATCCTTTGTGGCAATGGCTGGTCCTTATAAGCCTGCAAATGGGCTGGAGCTGTCACTGGCTCCTTTCTTTCGTATTTTGAAAAATGCCCCACCCTTGGGATGAGGAAACCTTGGTTATGACTTTCAGGCTGAATGAACAGATGGAGGGATGCCAGCTCAGCAAATAGAGCACACCACATCCACCCTGGCTTTAGCTCCTGTCCCCTGAAGGCCTGGGTGGGGCTGGGAGCAGCAGTGGACTCCCTGGAGCCAACTCTCCTCCTTCCTGGTGGCCATAACCACTGCTCACAGCGGCCTGAGGCTTTCTGAAAAGTGTAAGATACCTGACCATAAAACAGTAAGACGTGGGCTATAGGAGTAGGACAGGAAAGGACAGGAGAGGGGTCACAATTCAAATGCCCACAGGGCCAAACAGGTCACATAAAAGACAGCAGACACTGCAAAGACAAGGACGTAAGGCCCAGCCAAGAAGACAGCTTCAACCTGGCTCCCGCTGACTGTGGCTGTGTGGCCCCAGTCTCAATGGATCTTTCCGTTTTTCAAGAGGGGTCAGAAATCTGATTTTTTTTTTTTAAATGTGAAACTGCCTGGATTCTAAATGCTGACAACCAATTTTTTAAAATTGCTAACAAAATGCATTTGTGAATCAAATTATTTCTGTGGGTTTTCAGTTTGCTTTGACCATCAGCACATCCCAACCCTAAGTGAGATTTAGGTAAATTCCTGTCTGTCTTTGCTGACATTTCTCCAAAACGAATAGAGATTTTGGACAGACATGGAAATCCCGGTTTTAGATAAAGGAAAAAACTCCGTGTCTGTGTCCCTACTTGAAGATTTAACCTTAGATTTTAATTGTGCTCCTTTCACAAAACAAAGCCTCTGATGTGTCCTAAAGGGGTCAGAGGTAACACAGTGCAGAAAAGTTAGGTATAATGCGAGTTCCTTTGCTGGCTGGAACACATTCTCACCATCTGCTTCTCCACCTTCCAGAACACAGAGTAACAACTAATTGTCTACCCATCATTTCTGAAAACTGAATGTAAAGGAATCCATAGAAACCCTGTTGGAGGAAGTTCCTCAGGGACACATTCTTTCTGAGAACTAGTAACTAAACATACCCTTGAATCAGGCTACAGGTGACCAGTTCTATACTAAAATATTTAATCCAGGTTTATGTATATAAAGGGCTTTGATCAATTTAACAAATGAAGGAGGGTGACATTTTAGATCATCTTTGTATTATCTGCTTATATGCTGTTTTGTTCAACTAAGAAAAGGCTGTTGAAACCACAAACAAATGTACAGCAACTGCTGTAAGAGTTCTAGCTAGTGCCCTATAATATGTAAGAGTATCAAAATGAGTGTAAAGTCAATTACAGTAATGTGATCTGGGAAAAGCCATTTAGTTCTCATAATGAAAATGGTCAGAGCATCTCTGAAGAATGTATTAGTCAGATCTTGCTTAATTTGAAGAGAGCTCAACAGGGTGAGGCAGCCAGACTGGGTTATGCAGACGTTCCCAGAGTGTTACAGCTTCCAACGCCGGCATGAGACACGAGAGAAAGACAAAGCCGGAAACAATGCAGAAAATGCCCCTCCCATCCCTCCTGTGAAGTTAAAGCACAAGTGAACCCTAAAGACCAGGAGAAGCCCGTAACTATTCAGGGAGTGACTTTCTTCTATTGTCTAACTCGAGAATACCCTGGCACGTTTTAGTGGGGAACTTGGCCCTGGAACATTCCATTACCTTTTGCCACATCATAGCACAACTCTCTTCAAAATCAGCAAAGGCAAGTTGTCCTGCAATTAGAAAAGATTTTACATTAAAATCATTTTTTAAAGCCCAATTCTCTCTAGTCTCATACAGCCAAGATTTATTACCAACCCAAGCTTTAGAACATGAACAAGGAGTTAAATTTAAGCTCTAAAACAAGCCTTGTCTGAGAAAGGCCCTGGTTTTTCCCCCTTCTGCCAAATTAGGAAGAAAAAACAAAGCCTACGGGTTTCCTGTCTGTGTCCTATGTACTTTTTGTTACAGCAACCAAAGAACCGGTGTGCACAAGGGAGAACCGCAGGCAGCAATTGCTTTGACCACAGCACAAACACGGGGCCAATCAGCAGGTGGCTGGACCCTCAGAAGCAAGATGCTAGCAATAAAAGCTGTACATGACAGAGTGAAAACAGCACTTCACAGTAAAAAAGAAACCATAGTACAGTAAACCCATATATGAACTTTAACAATATTGATAATACCTAACACTTTTAACAATATTGATAATACCTAATACCTTACTATTATGTGTCTTTTACTATTCTAAGCACTTTACATAATTCATTTAATTCTCACAAGCCTTCGAAGTAGGAACTATTATCATCACCCTCATTTTACAGATGAGTAAACTGAGGCACAGAGAGGTTAAGTAAAATGCCCAAAGGTGCACTAATAAGTGAGTAAGTGGTAGAATGGGGATTCAAACTCATGGAGTCTAGCTCCAGCATCTGCTCTTTCAACCACTGTGGTACACCAGCTTTAAGATATCTAATTAAAGCAATATTGAAATGTGAAAACAGTGTCTCTGAGCTAAAATATATTCTTACTGTTCAGTGTAAAAGTCCTTGGCAGGCATGCCTTTCCTGCTATTTTTCCAGACAAGGTAGATACATATTTGTACCTTCATTCCTTCTTTTGTTTAGCAAACGGTTACTGAGGGTCTGATCTGGTCAGACAGTAAGAATATAAAAACAGCATCAAGATATAAGGAATTTTCCTTAGTCCTGAAGGGATACAGACAATTAAACAAATAATGATAACATAGATCTATCACATACAACTGCACAGCTATGCACTGCACAACGCTTGCAGGGCACCATGCACATTAGAGACATCAAAGATTTCTGTCTTTATTAAGACAGTTTGCCAACAGTTGGAAGTACTATGAAGTATCCTGAAGAAGGTGTGGGTGTCTTTTTCTAATTTGCACAAAGGTGCCTTCGGGCTAGCAGCAGCCCGGTTAGTGCAACCAGATATATGCACCAAGAGAGGAAGTAACACTCAGGAAGTGGTCGACCCCGCTGCACGGAATCAGTGGAGGTTTCACAGTTTACGGAGAAGAGAAAGGTGAAAGAGTAGGAGAACAGCTTCAGATCCGGGAAATGATAAACAAAGGCAGAGTGGGCAGAAACAAGAACTGCTGAAGTGTAAAGTACAGGAGAGGAGCCACAGGAAACAGGTCCGGAAATGGAGGGGCGGCAGCATAGGGGGTGGTTACTGCTAAGAAAGACCCTCGACCCTGAGCTGTCGGACTCTGCAGATGAGGGGCTACAGAAAAATCTCTCTGGGACAGACGGCTGGGCAGATGCGGGGAGAGAAGACAATGCAGCAGTACTGCCAGAGGACAGCAAAGCCCAGAGCTAAGACCAAGGCAGCAAGTGTGCCGCAAAACGGTGGTTTCTTAAAATATTCAGGATGGGTCTTACTTATTTATTTACTTATTTTTATACTTGCTCATTCCAAAAAGGATGATGGAGCTAACAAAGATACATACTTTAGAAGAGAAGAAAACAGATAGATGAGGAAATGAAGATAAATGAAAAATAATATTCAGAAAAGAAATGGGGCTGAAATAAAATTCCTATCTGCTCGGCAGACAGGGAAGCTTGAGGAGCTACAAGATCCAGAGTGTCCGTGGGGAAAGGCAAATCAACCTCTGAGTCAGAAGACAACAGCTGCTAAGAATACATGAAGCCTCAGAAAGCCCTCGCCAAGACTCAGAGATTCTCTCAAGTGACTGGTGTTGCAAACATCCTGAGAATTAAAAACAAGATCACAAAAATAAAAAGTTCCCAACTACCAAATGACTATGTTTTATAACATCCAACTATGAAAGCCACATTCACACTCCCCCACCACCAAAAAAATAAAACAAAAAAACCAGAAGAATTATTTTACAAGCAGTCAAAAGAGTGAGGACTCAAGAGTGCTTAGGCAGTGAGGATCAACCAAGTCTCCCCAGAGCCCTTCCACGTCAAAGAAGGGGTTGGGGTGCGAGTGGTGGGCAGGAAATGGCTTCAGGAGTGAGTCGGGGGTAGCAAGAGCTCCTTTTCAACCAGCTTCAGTTTACCTGCCCCTTCAGCCGCCTTTTGAAGAGTGTTAAGTATTCCCCGACCTCACAAAAAAACAAAATTTCAAAAAGGCACTGTAGAGGAATAGAGATGGATTTCAGGCTAACTGCAGGAATGTTACCTCTTAGAACTAGTCTTCTAGTAAGAGGCGAAAATTTAAAAATGTGATGTGCCATTCTCTGCAATAAACTCAAGTTCAACCAGTCTACTATGTTGCCAAATAAGGGCAGATTTATTTGCTTAACAGTTCGCCAAAAGGCAAGGGTTGCATCTGTATTGGAAATCAAGGAAATTGTTAGCCACAGGAAGGTGGCACAAAGCACTGGCCAGGGTCTCTCAGGAAAGCAGTCTTAGCTCTGCTCTGATACACAAAGGGGTGACTTTGGCCTCCAAAGGCAAATAGTTTATAAACCTTTTCCAAAGTACTAAACCCTTTCTAGAGCCAAAGAACAGTCTGCTAAACAGATGCAGCAGACGCTGAAGCTGGCACAGGCTGGAGGATCCTGTCAGCCTCCCTTCAGCTGGGACCAGAGGAAGCATCACCTGGGGGATCAACAGAACAGCCAGGGAGTTCAAGCCATAGACAGGATCCCACAAGGGAAGGGTGGAAGCAGGCAGGTGGTGCAACTTCAAGCTGGGAAGCACACCAGAATCACAGGAAGCGCTTAAAAAAAAAAAAAAAAGGCCAGGTGCGGTGGCTCATGCCTGTAATCCCCACCTTTCAGGAGGCCAAGGCAGGAAGATCACTTGAGCCCAGGAGTTCAAGACCAGCCTGGGTAACACGGCGGAACCCAATCTTTACAAAAAATACAAAAATTAGTCAGGTGTAGTGGCGTGCACCTGTGGTCCCAGCTACTCAGGAGGCTGAGGCAGGAGGATGGCTTGAGCCCAGGAGGTGGAGGTCGCCATGAGCCGAGACCATGCCACTGCACTCCAGCCTGGATGACAAAGCAAGACCCTGTTTCAAAACAAACAAGGCAGATGTCCAGGCCACATCCAGACCAATTAAAATAGAATCGGCAAGGGCAAGACCCAGGCAATGGTGGTTTTTAACCTTCTCAAGTAATCGCAATATGCAGCCGGGCTTGGGAACCAGTGGTATACTGGAAACAAAGCACATAAAGCAGCATTACAGGTAGCTGAAGCAGGAGCAGGGTCAAAAGCCCGGCTATGAACACAGGCCATGTGACATTCCCAGCAGGCCTATTAACACCCAGAGTCCTCTACAGCAGCGTTTTGCCAAGCATAACCTATTCACTTCACCTCTGTTCCTCTGGGTAACATGGCTGGCCTGGCTTGTCCTACAACTGGGTAACTACTATGGGCCAGGCACCATGCAGGATGTTTTATATGCACTACTCCTATTTCTTAAAACAATCATAAAAGGTAGATATTATTTTTGCCTTTCTGAACTAAAAAAAAGCCTTAAGAAAGGTTCTGAAACTTGCTTATGGTCATGCAGCTATTCCCTGTCAGAACTATTACATGTATCTGACTCCAGAGGCCACGGTTTCTCCACTGAGCCAAGACCATGGATTTCAGAACAATCAGCTTTTCACACAGGTAGGATGTGCTGTCCAAAAGCCATTTCCATCTGCCAGAAGCAAATCACTGCTACACTGGGAAAGTTTTAATCAATGTATCTCCAAGTTATAATTTAAGGGAACAAGGTAAAACAAAGAGATACAAAATCACTTAGCGACTACTGGGAGGAAATGGAAAGATCGTTCCTCCCTATTGTTGAATGGGCACGGCTCATTGCTACTGTCACCCGCGGATTACATATCGTTCAGCCTTTAAAAATCGAAAAATTGTCAAGGGCCACAGTGGAGGGGGTTGGGGGAGGCGGCAGAAAGATAGTACAGAGAATTATGCTTAAGACAATAGAAATAAAAAAAGTAACGCAATATAAATTGAAATGAAAAAGAGTAAGAAACAAAACCCAAAAGGCCGAAAATAAAGATTAAAAATTTGGCATTTAAGAAAAAGAAGTATGAATGGCAAAAACAAAATAAAAGATTAAACTTTTTTGAAGAATGAAATGTCTCAAATGTAAGGTAAGAGAGACAAAAGGATAGTACCAAAAAACATGATAAAAGCATGCGAGTAAACATGATAAAAGTTTTTTTTTTAAGTAAAAGACTATGAAATTAAGCATTTTAAAAATTAAGCATACAAATGTTAGCGCTGACTTTTTAACTTCATTTTGGCTCTGAAATCACGGAATAACTTGAATGCTTGTAGAGGAAAGACTTCCTGTAACCTTTTATTCTTAATCACGAGGCAAGCTCCCTTTGTTGAGCTGAGCTAAGGATGTTAATAAAAGGCTGTCCAATATCTTTCTACAGGTTGGCGCAAAACTAATTGCGGTTTTCACCATTGAAAGTACTGGCGAAAACCACAATTACTTTTGTGCCAACCTAATATCAGAGATGTCTGTTACTCATCCCATGGAAACCAAGACTGCCTGGAGAGAGGGTCCCTGTGCCAATGGGATTAACAATTTTTTTAAAGATTAATAAACTATAAGATGAAGGAAGATGCCATTTAGTTTAAGAGGGCATCAAGCTACCACTTCCTGATATGACTTCACAAATTCCATTTAAAATACCTATAAAGATACACACAAGACAAGACAGAAAGTAGGGCCTGCTTGGAATCATAACAAGTTGCAAAAG